TGTTGTAAACCCTCAAATGGGCAAAGGTGGTTCTGGGTATATGGATCTGGTCATGCTAAGGCAGTTCAGATGTAACTGGAACAATGTAAATCTTCTGTGTAAGATCAAATTTTTGATACCCCATTTTGTGAAGCTTCCAAAATTCCCACTCAGGCATTTTCCTGATGCATGAGAAAGCATCACAATGCTTGAAGATGTTGAGGCCCAGGGTTGGAACATTTTTAAAGGATATATTATTAGTACTGCTATTTCGTTGCCACTAGCATGCCAGTACTTGGGTATCAAAGCAGCTGCCTTATGATTTATAGGCAAATTAATGCTCTCAAAGGTCTTCTTAATAGAATCGGAATTTAACAAGACAATAGTTTTGACAAGTAGAGGGAAAGGGCGTCTTTGAAAAGAATCATGAGCTCTGGTTTCAAGGTATGGCCTTGAGAGTAGAATAATAGACTACTGGACAATGCTAAGTTTATGGGACAGAATGCCACCCCCTTATGAGGCACACTATGCTACATTGGTCTTAACAACAATGATTAAGATGAAGTAAGCTGCTTTCCAGTGTAGAAATGTGCAAGGAAGAATGGTTAAGTCTTGGATGAGACCTCTTAATCCTACTCTCATGTTCCCCTTCTTTGCTTCTCCACCCTTCACTGATGGTCATATTGACCTGGCAGTCCTTCCCATTTATACTTGTGAATACATGCATCAAGAATGCAAAACGGGCAATTTTATTGGCATTTCTTCATACTAGCCAAAGTTCAGATCCTTTCCTAGATATTTCAACATGCTGTCCTAAAAGCTTTTTAATTTTTATTTCAACATGTTTTACATTAACGTCATTTCATTATCTTTTTCATCTAATTTGGTCATATTGTACTTTATATAGATTCTTTGTGAGAAGATTGGTACACACATGTAGTGCCCGTGCTACAATCTGTCCCACTAATCAGGGGAAGGCCCAGAGACAAGACATTGTCGGGTCATTCGTGCAATAGGAATGCCGTTTATTGAGGAGAAGGAGAGGGCTTATATACTGACTCACAGCACAGTGGGAAATAATCCAGGGTCAAGAGTGCAACTTCTTAGGCTTAATACCTCCCCAGCAGATGTGTGTTAGCAAATCAGGAAGAGTACCAACAACAACTCTGGGGCAAGATGTTCCAGCTAAGACTGCCGAATGTTCCAGCCAACAGCTCAGCCTTGCCCAAGGTGCCTCGGGGATCCATGCATGCAGGGCCACACACACACACACACACACACACACACACACACACTACAGCTAAGACTGCCACACACACACACAAACACACACACACACACACACACACACTCTCTACAGCTAAGACTGCCGAATGTTCCAGCCAACAGCTCAGCCTTGCCCAAGGTGCCTCGGGGATCCATGCATGCAGGGCCACACACACACACACACACACACACACACACACACACACACACACACACACACACACCGCCCAAACAAAACAAAACAAAACAAAACGATGGGTATAATCTCATAAGCCTTTACTTTCAGCACTCAGGAGGCAGAGGAAGGTAGATCTGTGTGAGTTCCAGGCCAGTCTGTTCTACAGTTAGTACCAGGACAGCCAGGACAGCCAGGACTACACAAAGAAACTCTGTCTCAAGACAAACAAACAAACTCTGAAACCAAAGAACATAACCATGTTAATCATGTTCGACCATGATTAATAAGAACACAGTCTGGGAATTGGGGCTCAATGTGGGATAGAAAGATAGAAAAGCCAGGTTCCCCAAAATTGCTTCCTTGTCAGCCCTGGACCACCTCTATTTATAGTTCCTTATTATGTGAGAAATAAAGTTATACTTGCATATAGAATTAGGTGCATTCCTCTGTGCTAGGCTTGCTTTGTGATCTGTCTGTAGCCTGTTTTGTCAATGTCATCATGTAGACTCTATGTTTCATTCTCTAGTCTCTAATTTTAATGCTCCTGTCTCTCCTGATGCCATTCTTTTCTTTGAATAGGGATTCCTATTTCCTATTTTTGTCCTTCATACATATTAAGCTTTCTCATTTAAACACTGTACTTCATCAGGGAATATGGCAAGTTACACTAGCACCTGTCACACTACATTTTACTATCATTTCTTGAACTCATTTAGTGACTTTTTTTTCACTATATTATGTGCTTCCTTTCAAAATGTATGCTCAGGTAAAAAGAGTGATATTCTCAGTACAGAATTGTGGGTTTATCCCAGTCTTCAAGAAACTTTATGGGATTTTTAGTTTTCCAAATCTCCTTATCTTAATTTTTTTTTCTTTTCAAAACATTTAAAAAAAAAATCGATTCTCTGAGAATTTCAGAGAATTTGGATTCTTTCCCATTTCTTGTTGATGTCTTATCTTTCTGGCATTCCAGTAACACTTGTTCATATCTTTTTTAAAAATTTTAATTGCTCTCATGATCCTTTTATTCCCTCATCCTACCAAAGTATGTGGAGGAATGTTACATGTAAGGCACTCAGTCTGATTGGGTTTTAAGAGTATAAATATCATTTTGAAATTTTCACTATAGAGCTGGGCAGTGGTGGTGGTGGTGCATGCCTTTAATCCCAGCACCCAGGAGGTAGGAACAGGTAGATCACTGATTTTGAGACCAGCCTGGTCTATAGACTAAGTCCCAGGACAGTCAGAGCTACACAGAGAAACCCTGTCTTATAAAACCAAAACCAGAAGAAAACAAAACAAAACAAAAACAAACAAACAACAAACAAAAAAAACCCAAAAACCAAATCAAAACAAAACAACCTTCCTCCCAAAAGAAGATTCACTTAATTGAATCATTTAAACAAAGTTTAAGAAGCTATTATCACTTCATTTTAGGAATGGAGAAATAGAGTTTGGAGATGTTAGACTATTTCTCTAAATCAGCCAGGTGGAAGAGTGTTAACTGAAAGTTGAGGGAAGGCTGTTTGACATCATTGTCTGTGTTCTTTTCTTAGTTCATGTTCTGTTTGTGTGAATGTATTAGAGGTCTTCATGTTAGTGTTTGGGAGTAGATGTAAAGAAGGTACAGACCCTTGGTGGCACCCTCAGTAACCTGAACAGTTCCCTAGAACCTTAAGGACTCAGCTTGGGCCTTTGATAATGAAAACCATTATCAAGGATAACCAGTATAATAGCAGAGTTGACAGTTTTACTAAAGATATTTTAATTCATGCTTATGATGAAGATTAGGAAACGATGCACTTGGAAGAAAATATGGCACAGTGAAGAGTATAGATATGTGCTTCTAAGAAACATGTGTGCTCATTGCTTTTGCAGTACTCATATGTGAGATTTATGTGGTTTGAAGTTACTGTCTTACTACTATTTGGTTGTAGATGGGCACCCAACAGGATTACAATAGACAGAGTAGAGGTGTAGCCCTACAAACATAAAGGAGGGTAGGATATCTTTCTGTAGACAAAGTTACATTTGGTTTGAGATTCTCAGGCAATTTCTAGACAAAGGAATGAGGCCTTGCCCGGGGCTATACACACTGAGATCTGAAGCTTAGGTCATTGTCAAATTTTCATACAACTATGCAGGAAATAAATATTAACTATATGTCAGTAGCCTTTACAGCAAATGTTAATTCTGATAGAATCCTTGCTCAGCTGGCAAGTGGTTTTAATCAGACTCCGAGATGATGCTCCTCCTCCCATGTTTCATAGGTTCCCTGTCTTCCCATCCCGTCTCATTCATATAGAATCCACCTCTGACTTGTTTTGATTAATAAACAGTGGTTGCTGGCTTGATTTTTAACTGTAAGGTCTTTATGCTGACTATGCACTCTTCAATTCTCTAACACCTCCAGTAATCAATCCCTTTTTCTCACCCTATACACATTTAGGGTCACCTGCCTGGTTCCTAAGGCTTTTTATCTTTTGATCCTTGAAAGTTCCTTCAACCTGTTTGGAATATCCTATCTCAAAAGTCAAGATGGCCAGGAACGTCACATCTTTTTGTTTGTTTGTTTGTTTTGTTTTGTTTGATACAGGGTTTCTCTGTGGTTTTGGAGGCTGTCCTAGAACTAGCTCTTGTAGACCAGGCTGGTCTCAAACTCATAGAGATCCACCTGCCTCTGCCTCCTGAGTGCTGGGATTAAATTAAATGCATGTGCCACCACCTCCCGGCAGGAATGTCACACCCTAAGTTCCGCAATCATCTTGTCAAAAAGAAATGACATTTCCACTCCCCCCTCTTTGGAGTATTTTTCTTGATCAAGCCTATAATTTAATTATCTCTTCTCTGTATCTTTGTATGTACACACATTTAAGTTAGATAAGCCTGCCAAAGACACAAACCAGGAATATATACTTCTTTTTAGAAATAAAGTGTCTTATCAGCTGTAAACCAGGTAATCTTTTCCTTAACACAGATCTGTGATGTAAATTTCAAGGAAGAGGGTGCCCCCATTTTCCTGTCATGTGCGTCAGCGTAGGTGCCTAGCTTTAAGCAGTGAATATTTGCTACACACACACACACACACACACACACACACACACACAGAGAGAGAGAGAGAGAGAGAGAGAGAGAGAGATTGTATTTTCCCCCCCTTTGGATAAATTCTATTAACTAACACAGAGTGATGTACACGGGGCGTGGATGTATTGGACTGTGTCTACATCACACAAAAGGTACAATTTTCTGGCCAAATATACAGTCTCACCAGTGAGGTTTGATGTCTTTCCCAGTGAGGTTTGAGGCTCCTAAGAGTAAATCCTCCTCCTGTTTCTGTTTTTACATTTGTAGATATGTTGAGACTTTATTTAAAATATCAACAGTATGAGTTATGGCCCATAGTTTTATTACCCTCTTCCCGTGCCCTCCTTCCCACATGCTTTCCCACCATAGGCAAGCATTGTACCTTACTCATGGCACCTCAGTATCTGCCTTGGGAATGGGGCTAGGTAACGGAAAACACTGGTGGGCGCGGAGAACCACCACTCCCAGCATCCTTCGCGCTCCCAATGCCTGCGGTTTCCTCTTCCGGTCCGGCGGCTGAGGAAACTGTAAAAGCTATGCTGAGGACGCGGCGCGGAGCTTGATTCACCTTCATCTGCTCGGAGCGGCGGCTGACCCCGGGCTTCCACCCGGTGAGCCGTCAGACATGAACGGACGGGTGGATTATTCAGTTACGGAGGAAGAGATCAACCTGACGAGAGGACCCTCGGGTAGGCGCGGGGCGTGGAGGGAGTCTTGCTGAGCTCGTTGGTTTTGCGAAGCTGGGTTTACCTGGCTGGAGAGCAGGCAGGCCCGACCAAGTGGCTTCCAAGAAAGCTGTCGGGCACGACGAAAGAGACCATTGGCGTCCTTTGTAGCTAGATAACGGACCCTGGGACTCTGGCTCCCAACCCAGTGGAAGTATCGCAGACATTTAGGGCCGGGAAGGGTTTCTATCTGCTGGTAGTAATAGAAAAGTCTAGATAAACGCCCGCTGTTTAGACAGCCTGTAGTGAACGCCACATCCGTTATTCAGTTGCCTGGATCATCCTCGTTTATGTGACGGCCCGTTCAGGTAAAAACGAGAGCAATAAACGGCGTTGTTCTCTGAATGCACAGCCATTTCCCTGGTGCTAGGGTCCTGTCTGCATTTCTGGGAAATTAATTTGCAGTGTCAGCTGGAATGCTAAAGCAGGAGGAAGGAGAAGACCTACTACAGAAGTTTCCAGACCTAGAGCCACCCCAGAATTACGTGGGCTTTTTTTTGTTTGTTTGTTTGTTTTGTTTTTACTTTTGTTCTAATAAACAAATTAAAAATCTCTTCTAGTTCCACCTTTAGGGATTTGGATTCAGTACGGATTAAACAATTCTTTAAACACTAAATGTGATTCTGACAAGAAAATTTCCACTCAGCCCTGCTGTGCAGTTTTCCTCATCGCTTGCTCATGGCTGGATTGGCTTTTTTTTTTTTTTTTTTTTTTTTTTTGGATTGGCTTTTTAACATTACTACCTAGTGCTATTGTCTCCCTTGAACTTCATTGTATTCTTTATGGCTGTAACATTTTAGGTTTAGGGTTAACTATTTATGACCAAATTTTTATCTAACATCTTACCGGTTGTCTGTCTGGTTGGTTTTAATTTATTAGCGGAGCAATTTAACGGATGTATGCTGTAGGTTCTTGTCTGTAGAGTGGTGGTTATGAAGTGCATTGTGTTTGACATATAGTGTTAGGGTGAAGCCCAGTTACTCCCTGGAAATTATTGAGAACATTGTCTTGACACATTGTAAGCAGTGCGTATTTGCTATTATTATCATTAGTGAATGAATGGCTAGACTGACCCCAGTAAGTTCTGCTAACTTAACAGTATTTCAAGAGTTGAATAAATCATTGGTTACTGTGAATTTCTATTCTACTTAGAATAGTCTGTCTTCTTTTCTCATCTGGAAGTTTGCAATAACTTAATCTCTACTGCTCACTTATTCTGTATAAAGCACAACTTTCAGAATTAGTCATATTTTTTTGTCCTCCTGTTAGAAAATTGGAAGTGGCTCTGATGGGAGTAACTCACTGCTCATCTTTGTAGTTTACTTAGAAGCTCTGTCCTGGTTGATGTGTTTTTGTTTTTTATTTTTTATTTCATTTGTCAGCTTGGCAGAAGCTAGAGTTATCTGGAAAAAGGAACCTCAGTCGAGAAAATACCTCTATCAGATTGCCTGTAGGCAAGCCTGTGGGATATGTTTTTGGTTGGTGATTGATGTGGGATGATCACTCATGTGGGCAGTGCCACCCTTGGTAGGTGGTCTTGGATTGTAAGAAAGCAGGATGATCAAGCTGGTCAGCAGCAATACCGCAGTTCCTGTCTCCAGGCTCCTACCTCGAGCTCTCTTCATGATGGAATGTTACTTGAAAGTGTGAGATTAAATAAATCACTTCATCACTTAGTTGCTTGTGTTATGGTGTTTTGTCATAGCATTAGAAACCTAAGATAAGCTCAAAGACTTTTCATTATGTCCAGGTGTTTGAATTTAATTTTCTTATTTCATAACTATTCTCTCAATATTTATTGACTTTTAAGGCTAATATGGTAGAAATGGATTTTTATTACATTTATTTAGTTATTTGTGTGGGGGGGCAAAGGGGACCTGTAGAGCTCAGAGGACAACTTTCAGGAGTCAGTTTTCTCCTTCTATCATGTGGGTCCCAGGGATTGAATTGTCAGACTTGGTGGCAAGTACTTCTTACCCACTGAGCCGTCTCACTCAGCAGTCTCAGATCTTTAAATAAAAGTCCATTTTCCTGTACTTTTCATCTTCTCTTCTTAGGATCAGTTGAGATACTCCTTTCTAATTGCTTTGCAAGTACATAATGGCATCTAGTTCTTTAACCTAAATATCCTTCCATGATACTACTTTTTTATGATATTTGATTTTTTTTTTTTTCTCTGCCTAATGGAAAGAACCTAATGTACTCTCTTTGCAGTGGTATTACAGTAATTTTCAGGGTCTTTTGATGAGAGCAGGTTTCTGATACTATTCTTGTTTAAGCACTAAATTCAACATAATATCACTATTTGAACCTTTGGGCATTTGGAAGGACATTGTCTAATTTCTAAGTTTTTTTTTTTTTTCCAGATCTGAAGTTTCTAGTCTTAGTATTTTCGTCAAGCATCAGAACTAGGGAAAGCTCCTAGGACTAAATAAGAGATTAAATTATATCTGGTTAACATGTTTTTACACAAAGCAGTGTAATGTCTGTGTTGTAGTTATTCATTTAAAAATAAAGAGTGAATTTATCCATTGAGTGACTTCTGGAACTTTCATAAGTATTTCCAAGTTATTAATCAGGGTTCTCTAAGAGGACTAGAATCAATAGAATGAATATGTATATTAAAAGGAGATTTATTAGATGGGCACTTACATGATAAGGTCTGAGTAGTCCAACAGTGCCTGTTTGCCTAGTGAGGAGGTTGAGAACCTGGTAGCTACTCAGTCCATGAGGCTGAATGCCTCAGCAGACCCAACCTGTTCCTGGAGAGCCACTGGCTTTTAGTCCATATTGGAAATCCAAAGGCACTGGGTTCTGATATCAGGGAAGAAATGTAGCAGTAGCAGTAGGATGGATGGACCCAAGAAACTGGGTGATTAAACTCAGGCTTTAAAGAACCAGCTTTCCCCTGTGAACTGCATGTCCATGGTACTGCCTGCAGTTTAAGGTGGGCCTTTCTACTTGAAATAACGTGTTTGCTTATGGCTAGTCTCTTAGTTGATTTCAGATTCAGTAAAATTGCAAACCCAAGATTAACCATCCCAGTGATGCAAATCATTGAACTTCCATGAAAAAGTAATTACAAATTTAGGATTGAATTTGGCAAAAACAATCATTGGAAGCTTGTTGGTTCAGTAAATGAGGAAAGGTTTACCACTTCCCAGAGGTAATTCTTGGTCTGTATTGGTCTCAGAGTCTTCATGGTGACATCATGAAGAATATACACAGGGAAGAAGTCAGCCATTACCACTAAAAACTTGGGGGTAATTTTGGTAGTGCCATAGGAATCTTCCTGTCTACAGGAGAAATATAAGAAGCCTCTGATTCTAAGTATACAATTCTGTACATAGGCAGCATTGTCTGGTTTAACTGTGTGAATGTGAGTATGATTACTTCTTTGTGCCAGAGCAGTGTCGGGCATGGATCTTGGATATTTGCAGTTTTGTAAGGCAATTGAACCTACTGAAAAAAGAGACAAGCCCACAATCCTGGGAAAGTTGCAACAATGAATGAGTGTCTAAGGATTGAAAAGGAAATGGTATGTAGTGTGACCTTTGTCCTGTGCTTACTTCCTCATCATTGTAAGGAATGTCTTGGCAGTCTTTGACTTCAGAAGGCTGCTTTGCTTTTGTACTTGGGCTCATTCCATGTGTTATTTTAAATAATTTCTGGTATTTTAAAAAGATATTTACAATTTTTATCTGTTTGAGTGTTTTGCCTGTATTAGTATGTGTACCATATATGTGCCTGGTACTCACAGAAGCCAGGGAGAGTGCTACAAAGTCTGGAACTGAAATTTTAAGTGGTTGTGAGCTATATGAGTGGGTACTGGGAAATGAACCCAGGTCCTCTATGATAGCAGCAAATGCTCTTTACTGCTGAGCTGTCTCTCTGGTTCCCAATTTCTGCCAATTTTTGATTGGCCGGTGATATAAAGAATTGTTAAAGGCAGTAGTCATGATCTCATGTTTTAAAGGTTGAACAGTTCATCTTTAGCCTTTATGGACAAGTTCAGCTTGCTTGTACTTGAAGGATCTCACTTTTTCCTATATCACATTTAGAAATCTTAAAGTTGTACAGATTCATTACTCTAAGCAATATGACAAGACTAATCTAACTTTTATTTTCTGTACCAGAGATTGAGCACAAAGGCAATTCTTCTGCAACTGAGTAATATTAGGGTGCACTATTCAGACATAAGAGCTCAGTGGGTTTCAACAAGTTACTCGCAATCTGCCATATTTAGAGAGGGAGGAGGAGACAGTCCATTTCCTTACAATCTTTAGAAGCCTTTCAAAGGAAGGGATAGTTAATACAATACATTTATAAAGAATGAGTAAGGAGGTATTTTCTGGAAGTGTGCCAATTATTATATACTTTATACTTGTACTTGGCTAAATGAGTCTCTGTTTATAGTCAGTCACATAGGCTTATTTTAGTTCTTATAGAATCCCTTAATGGTAGGTATTTAATCTATACTATTAGGTTGAGAAGTTATCTGAGGGAAGTTAAAGACTTGCCCAAGATCTAAGACCAGTAAGATTCAACTCTAGGTCTGTTGCTTGTATTGTACCAGATACTTCCTCCCACCACAGTACCTAAGAAGTTAATTGCTAACATCCCCCATGCCTTTATTTTTTTAAAGCATGCCTTATTCTCTAGAGAGATTTGATGTATGCAAAAAAAACCCAAACAAGCAAGCAAACAAAAACAAAAAAACCAAAACTTTAAAATCCATTGTGGAAAGTTTTTAGATTTTGATGTTGGTAGATTTGCAGGTGCATCAAGGTGAGAACCTGAAAACGGAACAAGACAGTACTTACGTTTTTTCAGTCATGTGCTTCCTCTAACCACTAACTGCAGTTGCTAACAGTTTTCTGATATTTTCCTTCCCACATCTGTTAAATAAACTTGAGACTATAGTGCTATATCTGTGCTTTGTTTTCTCTGGCTATAGGAAATTT